GGTACTCGTATCATCACCAACAATGTCCTTCCTCACGAAAGATTTAACCCGTTTACTCTCCAAAATGATATTGCCATCATCTACATTGACCCTGTTAGCTATTCAAGTGAGTGATAGTGATTATTATAGCTTTTGTTTACATTGCTTTTAACTTCTAACTCATTATAATTCCTTTTTTTTAATAGATAACATAAGGAACATTGAGATCGCAAGTGGAAACGATCAATATGTTGGATCATGGGCTATTGCTTCAGGATTCGGTCGTTACACAGACAGTTAGTTTCAAGATATTTATAAAACATAATATATTTATGTATTGTAAAACGGAATACTTACAAATATGTATTTATTATTTTCAGCTTCTGGCGCCTCTTCCACCCTGAGGTACGCTTACTTGCAGGTTATCAGCAATGATGCATGCAAACGTTCTTACGGAAACATCATCTTATCTTCTTTCCTCTGCGTGGATACTCGAAATGGATTCAGTACCTGCGCTGGAGACTCTGGTGGTCCCCTCGCTATTGATAACAAACTGGTTAGTATTTCAGTTTCTCAAAGGCTATGGTAAAATTTGGTCATTTAATTGAGGTATTTGATTTTTATTAATATATATTTTCCCTGTCCAGATTGGTGTCACATGCTTTGGTCATAGCGCTGGGTGCAGTCGTGGTCACCCTGCTGGTTTTATGAGAGTTACTTCATTCTACGATTGGATTATGTCTAACATGTAAACAATATCTAACGAACATATTTTCAAGTAACATATTAATAAATTTTTATCTTTTATAAAGTTTGTTTTTATTTCAATGTGGAGGGTTTTGTAAAAGTAAATATACTAGTATATTACAGCAATACCAAAATAAATAAATGTACATATGTAGTATGGTAAAAAGTCAACAAGTAAATAAACTAGTTGATTACGACTTTTCTAAGATTATGGGGTATAATAATATGTTACCAAGGTTTATATAACGAGACTAATCCATTAACGTTTACTATTACTAAATTCTTTTATATTATTATTATTTTTAATTTGATATAAATATTAATATTACAGTTATATATAGTCAGTGATGGCCTAGTGGTTAAAGGCCCGCCTCTCATGCATGAGGGCGCGGGTTCGATCCTGGAAAGTACCAATGTGGTTTTTCAATTTCATATGTTATTTCTGAGAGTATTTAGACACCACTGACAGACGGTGAATGAAAACATCGTGAGGAAACCTGGACTTATAATTTCACAATTATAAGTTTGAAATCATCAACTCGTCTTATGCAAGCGTGGTGATTAATGAATTCAAAAAGAGGGTTGATTTCAGGCATCATCAGGCATCGGTCGTAAAAACAAAACTATTTACAACATGTAAGACAGTCCCTGGCTAAACCTGGAAAATTGCCAGGAAGAAGAAGATTAATATTAATTACATTTATTGAATTTTTTAACCTCGAACTGAGATTTTAGTATATTTTGCAATTTTAACTAGTAATTTTTAAACGTATGTACTTATAGTACTAATTACTTTTCTATTTGTGACGCTTATAAACCTATGAAGGTTGTATGAATAATTTTTTGTTTATGTTTTACTACAAGTGAATAATTTTGTTTAAAGTTAAAAGGACTTAAATCGAGTTTGTTATTTTCCAAGAGCGTACCACTATTTCAGTACCTTGAATTTGTTAAAAGGTCATTTTTCCTCGTGAACATTTGAAGATAGAAAAGAAGGCTTGAAGGCTTTCCGACTGAGTGCTAATTTTTTTCAACTGGTAGTTTGTAGTTCATTTTTTTGGTTTTGTTCTATTTCCTTATAACTATTTTTTAAAATTATTTATAAGCCACTTTTAATGTCCATCTTTTTAGATCACCTGCATCAAAATTTTATTTTAAGATTTTGCCATGACTTACATCACGTTTATTTAAATACATAATAACAAACATAGCTGCATCATATAAATTTATATTATTCACGTTACAGTTGTGTGAGAATAAAATTTTCTGTCTCTTTGATACTTTTGAAATATTATCACGCTTCAAGTAGCAATGTTATCTATAGCTGCTAATTAATATAATCTTTGACAAGGTAAAGAAAAATAAATAAAAATAAATTTTATCTCAAAGGTTTGCGATAATTCATATTTATTTATAAAAAAATTTTGTTTGTTTTTTTTACAGAATCTTCTTCTCCTGGCATTTTTAAGAAATTCGGTATTTGGATCATGTGTTATTTTTGTTTTTACCTCGTAATAAAGATTGTTTAAACTAAAAAAAACTCTTAATGAGAAAATTATATGTACGCACGAGACCAAAATATTACAGCTAGCGCAATATAATAATAACAATAGAAAAAGTTTGCGTGTAAAAAGTACAGTACGCGACAAAATAAGGTAATAATTACCGGTGGATGACAATAAATAATATTAGACTAACTGGCTGGCATGACCCGTCTATCGCTGCGAAACGTCAGGAATGCATAAGTGAAATAAAATAATAAAGGAACATAGAGTGTGCGAACAATATTCATTTTTAAATGTGTTCTCGCGACAATCATGAACATCATTATACAGGGTGACTGGTGAATTACTATCAATATTTAAGGAGAATACACGGTACACGATTCTCATTCGAATTATGTAAAAAAAAGGTACTTAATTTTTGACCAAATTTCCGTATAAATAAATAAAGTGTGGACACGTTCCAAGTGTTCCAAGTGTGGACGCGTGCGGCGGCGTGCTGATACAACACTACGCCGCCGCACGTGTGTGTGTGTGTGTGTGTGTGTATACCTAATCTGTAGGGTGTTCACACGATGCGTAATTAATTACATAACTTTTGGTTAACTTTACTTAGAAGTTTATTCATATTTATGTTATATTAATTTTTATTTTGTCATATACGATCGTCAAATATCACGTCCTCAAGTATCGATAGTAGTTCACCAGTCACCCTGTATAACACATAATTTGTAAATTTAAGAAAAAGTATTTCAATTAAAAATGTGATCATCGCTAACTGTGTTAGCTTTGGAAGATATATTGAATCAACCTTGAATTTGATCTTAGTTCTTTTCATTGATGCCAACGCCAAGACAACTATGAAGAAACTGGCTGTCCTCTCATCTAGATTGAGCATATCGCTGTTTCTTCTATATACATTATCCACATAGATATCAGAAAAAATTTAAATAATTTGCCTGTATTATGTTCCCTTTCAATTGTAATTTGATTGTCTTCGTAAGTAACAGTAGAGTCTGTAGCTCTATTACCATCAACCAAGACGTGGGAAGACAATTAGCTACTATCATATGTAAAACAAAACAAATTAAAAGTTGAAAAAAATGAGCACACAGTCGGAAAGCCTTCAAGCCTTCTTTTCTATCTTCAAATGTTCAGGAGGAAAAAATGACCTTTTAACAAATTTCATGACAAAAGATAGTTTTTTGAAAGAGAAAAACAAAAAAACTAGGTTTTTTGAATTTTTCACATAAACTTTGAGGTTATGTGAAAAAATATAAATACAAATATTTTTAATCTTTTTATTAACTACAACTTTGCCATATAACTTTGTTCTGTAGGACTTTTAGTTTTGCCGGAAATCGAGAAAACCCATTTTTTACCCTTAAATACCCATCGTCATACCTTTCCCGACCTCAGATCTCCCGTAAATTATTTTTCTTTTAACTTTTATAATATTATCCTCCTTTTCTAATTAGTTTCATTCTACTATAATTTATTTTCACTTTTCATTATTTTTAAAGCCTTCTGCACGGGCCTATTATAGTAAAACATATACAAGAAGTTGTTCATACAACCTTCATAGGTTTATTAACGTCACAAATAGTAAAAGTAATTAGTACTATAAGTACGTTTAAAAATTACTTATCAAAATTGCAAAATATACTATAATCTCAGTTCGAGGTTAAAAAATTAAATAACTGTAATCAATAATAATAACATAAAAGAATCAGTAATAGTGAACGTTAATGGATTATTATATACAGGGTGACTGGTGAATTACTATCGATACTTGAGGACGTGATATTTGACGATCATATATGACAAAATAAAAAATAATATAACATAAATATTAATAAACTTCTAAGTAAAGTTGACCAAAAGTTATGTAATTAATTACGCATCGTGTGAACACCCTACAGATTAGGTATACACACACACACACACACACGCGTGCGGCGGCGTGGTGTTGTATCAGCACGCCGCCGCACGCGTCCACACATGGAACACTTGGAACGTGTCCACACATTATTTATTTATACGGAATTTTGGTCAAAAATTAAGTACCTATTTTTTTTACATAATTCGAATGAGAATCATGTACCGAGTATGCTCCTTAAATATTGATAGTAATTCACCAGTCACCCTGTATAAACCTTGGTTACATATTGTTATGAACTATAACATATATATACATAACCTTAGGCATGTTTCGATTCGTAATCAACTAGTTTATATATTTGTTTTATTTTTACCATACTTAAGTATTTATTTATTTAGTATTGTAGTTATGTACTCGTATAATCTTCTATATATATATAAAAATGGATTGCTGTTCCTTAGTCTCGCTAAAACTCGAGAGCGGCTGAACGGATTTATCTTATCTTAGTCTTGAAATGTTCGTGGAGGTTCAGGGAAGGTTTAAAAGGTGAGAAAAATTGATTCATTTCCGGGAAAACCCTAAAAACAGCCCTTTTCTATTTCCCATACAAATGTTTTCTTTGACATTAGATTTGACAACTAACTAATATGTCAATCATTCTGTTCGATTTAAACAGGAAAAACCTGATTATTTATGGCCTCTAGGACGGAATAGAGTTCGCCCGGTCAGCTATACATATATTACTAATGATGAAATTAACGCGGACGAAGTCGCGGGCAAAAACTAGTTATTTTTATAAAATCCTCCACCATGAAATACATAGAAACAAACTTTATAAACGATGGTAATTTATTAATATGTTGCTTGAAAATATGTTCATTAGATATTGTTTACATAAAGTATGTAATCCAATCGTAGAATGAAGTAACTCTCATAAAACCAGCAGGGTGACCACGACTGCACCCAGCGCTATGACCAAAACTTGTGACACCAATCTGGACAGGGAAAATACATATATACAATATATATAAATAAAAATCAGATACCTCAATTTAATGACCAAATTTACCAAAGCCTTATAGAAACTAAAATACTAACCAGTTTGTTACCAATAGCGAGGGGACCACCAGAGTCTCCAGCGCAGGTACTAAATCCATTTGGAGTAGCCACGCAGAGGAAAGAAGATAAGATGATGTTTCCGTAAGTACGTTTGCATGCATCATTGCTGATGACTTGCAAGTTAACGTACCTCAGGCTGGAAGAGGCGCCAGAAGCTAAAAATAATAAATATTTGTAAGTATTCTGTTTAACAATTCATCAAAATATTATGTTTTATAAATATCTTGAAACTAACTGTCTGTGTAACGACCAAATCCTGAAGCAGTAGCCCATGATCCAACATATTGATCGTTTCCACTTGCGATCTCAATGTTCCTGATATTATCTATAAGAAAAAGAGAATTATAATGAGTTAGAAGTTTAAAGCAATGTAAACAAAAGCTATAATAATCACTATCACTCACTTGAATAGCTAACAGGGTCAATGTAGATGATGGCAATGTCATTTTGGAGAGTAAACGGGTTAAATCTTTCGTGAGGAAGGACATTGTTGGTGATGATACGAGTACCGCCAGAGTAAAGAGTGATAGAGCCAAGAACTACAAGCATTTCACGAGCAGTAACGCCGTATGATGTCCAGCAGTGAGCAGCTGTCACTAATCTGGAGTTACTAAGAAGGGAAGCACCGCAAACTGATTGTCTGCCGTCTTGAAGTCTGATTAGGAGCCCAGCCTAAAATGGAATAATTAATTTAAATAAATTGTGCTTTAAAAATTATTTTCAATGAAATGTGTGAAATATATCTAGAAATGTTTTACTTACTTGGTACGGTAATTGACCAAGGCGAGCGAAGTTTCCTCCCACGATTCTGCTGCCGTCGAAGTCAGTGGATTCTTCAGCCTGTTTGATACGAGCAGCTTCAATTACACCAATAGTGTTGTGGTAATCAATGTTGATAGGCTCGTAGGCTGAAACAGCCACGACTAGACAGAGAACAGTCAGGAGGAGCTTCATGTTGACAAATTGTAGGGTATTGTAGCTGAACTGGCAATATATAGTTTTAATAGGAATAAATATCTAATCAATTAATAAATGATTTTTAAATAAAGTCTTTGATATAATCCCTCTATCTATAATACTTTTATCACTATACATTGATAATAGTCTAATTTGGAATCACTATTGCACCTATCGGAGATTGTGTCAGCAATTCCTGCATTTTTCGTTTATCATTGCTCTACTTGACGCATGGTGGGCATTTATCAAAATACATTAACCATTTACTAATAATTCATAAATAAAAAGTAATTCACTTCGTTGTAATTCAATATTTATTAACAACAAGGTTTTAAATCAAAACTCAAGTAGAAAATACTAAGAGACATCAGATGTATTTATATTAAGGGAGTTCAGGAATAATCTTTAAAGTTTAAATAATTAGCTTACAAAATTAAAGTAACTGATGATCTTATTATCTTTATACTCATTTAGTTAAACATTTCTAAACAAAAAAAAATCTATCAAGGTACAAAACTCTAATAAAAATAGACATTTTTCCAACGATTAAAATCATTAGATATATGATCAGATTTTATTTAAAACAATTCTTAATATTTTAAAATATAATAATTTTAAACCAAACAAAAAACAAACATAAAAAAATTATTTAATAATTGACACGCCATAACATAATAGGTACTTTAATTTAATTAATCAGTAATTACTTTATAATTATTTTAAAATCTGAATTCCTTACCAAGGAAGTTATATGTAGGTATAGATACAATATGTCTTTTTAACAATGGAAATTATTTTCTTTTTTTAATTGATTTGTGTTAAGATATTATGATGGGTAGATTTATAAAGAATGTATTTGGAATTAAATGTAACTACTCCAGACTGAAAATGGTATTCAGAAAAGTTTAAAAAACAATAGTCGGACATTATTGCAAACTAAAAAAGTTATGTATACGTTATGAGATGTCTTATGGCTTAATTTATTAAATTTATAGTTTATAAATGGATGACTCAAAAACATGTTACAAACTATCTACTAACTTCAAACGATAAAGGAGTTTTGAAATCAAGCATTAATTATTTTTAAAGTCTGAGAAAAGTAAATGACTCTTTAATCTTATCCTACTGTTTATCAGTCTAAAAAATAATTTGTTTATCTGACATCTGTCTGGCATGGTGATGAGTGATGACTATCTGTGTAATGTTTGGATTTTTGTTTTATATAAGTGTATTTATTCTTTTAGTACAATTTCATTTCTAATCTCAGCAAAGAAAAATAATAAAATCTCTTTTTTAAAGAACGACTATTGATAAATACGTCTACTGTTAAAAAAATATACTTCTCTAGATAAAATCTTTTTTAAATTAACAGCTACTGGAGTAGCAAAAAATTACTGGAGAATATAAGGCTGACATTTTTTCCATACACATTGAAAAAAATTATGGAACCTTTTCCATGGAATTAATATGAGTAAAACTATAATTGTGATGTATTATCAAACAAAACATTAATTGTTTAATTTTGTGTTTACTAGTGCTATATGAGGTTTTCACATGGAAAAATTCAGATATGCTTTATCTGATTCAGATGGATTTTGACTAATATAAATTATTTTGTTATATCAAAGAATGATATCGAACGTTTTCTTGATAAGAAATAAATTGTCTACATATTTTTTGTCTGTTACGTATTTCGTTTTATGTCCATGTTAGTTTAATACTTCTTATTTGCTTATACTATTATATGTACTTATGCTGCAAATATAGTTTCATTAGGAAAATATGTTTTAGGTTATTACCAAATTTAATTTTACTATATAGTTCTGAACTTAGGTCAGTGACAAATAAAAAATACGATTTTTCAAAGTAACGTCACAAAATCATTAGTTCAACATTACGTTTATATCATATAAGTCAGTTTTTTCACTTTCTTATTTTTTATTTTTGTAGAAAGAAATCAGTAAGTATGTATTGTTTCACCGTTTTATTTAACTTATTACTTTATATTGTCATTATTAAATATTTTTATTATGATGTACATTCTCCCATTGTGTTGAACGCCAATTAAAACTAAAAAAAAAAGTTCAATAGTTTACTTAATAACGTTGTGATATAAAGTATAGCTTATTATAAGCATACCTCTCTCAGTGAAGCAGACATGCTATACGGATAAGATAAATTCGGTCATAAGAATTTAAAGATTATGATCGGAAAGTGAGCGTGTTTTAGGAATTTCAGGACAATGTTTTCGCTGCAAAAACTTCTTCTCAATGAGAATACCTTTTAAGTTTAAACAATTTTCAAATGACGATCAGCCTATTTAGTCAGTAAAGGACACAAGATGATGCACGTATATCTACCTTTATAAGTAACAAGAAAAGCTGCCTGGGCTCTCGAGAATAGTGACAGAAAGAGCTGTCTTAGAAGAGAGATTGCTTGTTGCCACACAAAATTTATTAGACGCCATGAATTTTCATCTGTAGAAGGAATGATGGTAAGTTACCAGTTTTTTAATTATCTTAAAAAGGAAGAAAGAATGTAACAAATAGAATTATATAATTATCAGAACAAATTAGAGATGCTGTAGTTTTTGGTTTGTTTTCAAAATAAATCAATAGAGAAGAATCAAACATTTTGATGATCAGAAATTATTTATGGCACCTTTAGGATCATCTCAAAGATAAATCAATTAATCCAATACATGTCCAAGCCCAAGGGACTTCATATTTAATTCATAATAATAAAATGAAATTAGACATTCGAGTATGTATTTGTTAAGAAATATAATATTCGAACTTGTATCAAGTAAGAGAATATATAGTTGGTTTTAAAGATATTGTGAAATAAAATTATTTGTAAAATAATAATATTTTTATAAGACCACAAAATTGTTGATGTTATAACTACTTAACGGAGAGTAAACTGCTTTGTAACGTAACGCTTAGCGGTGCCACTCAGTCTGGTTTCCTTTTTACTCATGCATACGGCATCAGTGTTTTGGTTAATATTCAATTTATTCATAAATAGCTTATTAATTTTATATATTTAAAAAAGTTAAGTAATAACCTAATTATTTTAAGTTACACAGTATCTATTGTATAATAAATAAATTAAATTATTTCTTCCGTCTAGCTTCACGTGATAAACTAATTTATTTTAGAGAAAATCTCTATTATATAGACATTATAAACTATGTTTAGTAAAATTTCCTAACAGCCAGAGCACACAAAAAGTCATAATTATGTTACATTTTATTTGAAACATAACATAATAACATTTAAGTCACAGTAATAATAATCGACGTCAGATAAAAGCTTAAATGTAGTATTAATTGGGGCAGGTTTGCGTTAGCGGCAGCCTCATGTCCTCGTAAATTCTTCTTTTGCACAATAGTTTTCGATGTATGCGTAAAAGGTATTCGAATTAGCTTTAAGTTACAAAAATAGCTTATCTATACAAAAAAATAAATATTGAATGATCCCTGAAAAACAAAGAAAATTTATGATTAAACCCAAACGAAAAATATGCTTTACATTATTATTATTGTTGTTATTATATAATTCGTGTTACAACATATATAAAATAAAATAACCTCATTGATTACATTGTAAAACTATCATTGGTCTGAAAAAATTGTAGCAAGTTAAAAGCAAAACAATCTAACGAATGAACTGGAAAATAAACCACTTTTTTTATAAGTGAGACTAATATTTTCGAATACTACGCTAAGACAGTCAGAAAGTGCGAATCCAGGCAAGCAGACCTGAAAAAACGTCGATACCACAAAGCTCGCCAACAAAGCCACCATGCTGAAACCTGTCGAAAGCTTCCGGGATTTCAACTGAAACTAGGATATATTTATCATTGTTCTCTAAAGTTTTTCTGACTTCTGCATAAATGTGTGGCTTCTACCGGAAGAGCTGCAGTTGACGATTTTTTCGTAAAACTACATATATTGTCAGTCACTGAGAAGACAATAATAGTAAAACCTAAAAGGCAATTCATAGTATAATGGAAGGCGTCCATTCAATATATAGAATAATATAGAAATAATTGAATTTAGACGATAATAAGCAGGATCTGCATGGCTTCCCTTATTTTTTACAGGCTGGTAAGCTTCCAAGATTTACGTACTATTCGATTCATTAAATGGATGAGGTACAATCGTGTCAAGGCACTAGATATCCCAAGTGCATATATTTTTAGAGCTACTGCTGGAATGCTATCCCAGCTACTAGCTTTATTAATGTGAAGACTAAGCAGAGTTTTCAGTGCCTCTCTAAAGCAAAGAACTCTTCCATAAATTAATAGCAGTTAGGTAAGCGAGGTAACTTATTACCAAAGGAGGTCATGAAGATTTAGAGAAGTCTGTCACGTGACTTTGTTCTACTGACAATAAGCTGAGGTACTAGATTTTATTTCATTATTCGTTTAGTGGAACTGAGCATAGTTTAGTATCTTGGATTGTATTTCTTATAGAACAAAGAATTTTTTTCAGCCTCACGTCAAAATTATTTTATTTTAACTTAATTGCAAATAAAGTAGTTTAAATGTGAATAATTTTTAAATCCATTAATTTTTAATATAAGATACAAATTATTACATAAACATCTCGTCTGCCCGTGATCACAGTTGCTGCAAAGTAACTGAAACGTCGGGAGTATGTAGTTTCTTAAAAAAATAAAATAAGCGTAGTAATTCAACAATATTAGTCTCATTTATACAAAAAAATATATATATTCTAGTTGCTGAAAGTTGTGATGGTAAAATTCACAAAATTTATTTACTTATTGCATAAAAGCGAAGAACAGACGTTTTTGTAGAATCATGTGAAAGATTAAAAACATTAAAACGTTACCTCTAGACTCTTTAGTGCATACTTGCAGAACAAAATCGTGGCATAAATTTAATTTACTTTAAAACCGAAATATATTTTTTTAACAGAAGCAACTTAAAAGTAAACTGTAAATTATAACAAAAACTGTATTCATTAGCTGTACTAAAGATGTATGAATATAAGAATTTTGAATAAAGACCATAATTGTAACTAAACAAATTAAATACTGGTGGCTAAAATAGTGATTTAAAATAAAATTATTTTATCAATGTGAGGTAATAGATAGAAAGAGTATATCAAAGAAATTTATTAAAAATCCTATCACTTATTTAATGATTAGATACTCATCCCTATAAAAGCTACACATTTCAAATTTAGCTACCATAATATCCTTCAACCTGTCAAAATGAAGCTTCTCCTGACTGTTCTCTGTCTAGCCGTGGCTGTTTCAGCCTACGAGCCCATCAACAATGATTACCACAACACCATAGGTGTTTATGAAGCCGCTCGTATCAAACAAGCTGAAGAATCCACTGACTTTGACGGCAGCAGAATTGTGGGAGGAAACTACGCTCTTCTTGGTCAATTTCCATACCAAGTATAAAACAGTCTTTAACTAGATAAATTTGTCAGATTTCATTCAAGTAATTTGTAAATATCAATTTCCTTATACCTATTATTCCGTTTTAGGCTGGACTTCTTATAAACCTTGTAGACGGCAGACAATCAGTTTGCGGTGCTTCCCTTATTAGTAACTCCAGATTGGTGACAGCTGCTCACTGCTGGTTTTCTGGGGGTTCACAAGCTCGCGAATTCCTCGTAGTTCTTGGCTCTATCACTCTCTACTATGGCGGTATCCGTATGATCACCAACAATGTTCGCCCACATGAAAGATTCAATCCGCGTAATCTACACAATGACATTGCCGTCATCTACATAAACCCTGTTAGCTATTCAAGTGAGTGACATTCAAGTGCATAATTTTTTTTGTATACAGCGATTAAGAGTTCTAACACATTAAGATCCTCTTTATCTTGTAGATAGCATTAAGAACATTGGTATCGCTAGAGGAGACGATTTATTCATTGGATCTTGGGCTACTGCATCAGGATTCGGCCGCTTCACAGAGAGTTAGTTTTGATATACTTTAAGAATGCCTAGCCGTAAAAAAATTGTAAGATATAATACTAACAAACAGTTTTCATATTCAGCTTCTGGCGCCTCTACAACCTTGAGATACGTTAACTTGCAAGTTATAACCAATGGAGTGTGCAGACGTACTTACGGAAGCTCTATCATATCTTCTTTCCTCTGCGTGGCTACTCCGAATGGACGTAGCACCTGCGCTGGAGACTCTGGTGGTCCCCTCGCTATTAATAACACACTGGTAAGTACTTTAGTTTCTACAAGGTTTGTATACAATTTGTCACTGATACTTTATTACTCAATATTCAACATTGCTCTGAATGTCAAAGGAACTGAATTTTAATAATATACATATATTTTCCTGTACAGATTGGTATCACATGTTTCGGCCACCGCGAAGGATGTACTCGTGGTCACCCTGCCGGTTTCGTTAGAGTTTCTTCATTCTACGATTGGATCGTATCTAACATGTAAACAATAATAATTTCAAGTATTAGAAAATGTTAATTTTTTAAAGCTCTATTTTTACTTTTTTTAAATACATATCTTTGAAAATATTTACTTTATTTTGAAAAGACACAGGACCTTTTTCTTGGTATTTCAATAAAGAATATGAAAAAATTGTGTCCCGTTGAAACAACAAATCCTTGCAATTGTTTAAATAATTTCAGTTTAAACAATATGCCACCAGGCTGCCCCATTGCAACATGTATTTATAACATCAGTAGGGCAATTCGAAGAGGATTACATAAAAAAAATTGAGGTCGAATAGTTTTCGACACTCATGCGCCGATGCGCCGATTCCTGAACTATATGCAAGTTTCATATATTCTTTAATATGCTTACCATTTTTGTTGTAATAACCTAAATCCTACATATACGTATACACAAATCTATTTTGCAATCATAAACAGTAATTTTTACAATCATACATTTAGATACCCTATTGAGGCAAGAGTTCATGTAAGACAAAACATAAGTGTTTTGTCAATTGTTGTATAATTTTACTATCATAGAATATTTAAAGAAAGAAAAGAAGAATTTAATAAAATCACATTACAGAGTGGTGTTTTGGATTGAGGGCTAATTTTTTTCAACTGACCGTTTATAGTATTTTTTTAAATTTTGATGGGATAGTATTTGATTGTCTTTCCACTTCTCGGTTTATGGTAATTAAACTATAGACGGTGAGCGCATTAAACCTTATTAACTTTTGAAGATAACCCAATCACAATTAGATGGAAACACAGTTTTTTTTTATTATTATTAAATTTATTTATTACATTTATTTATTAAACTAAAGTTAAATCAATTAACAATTCAATTTATAGTGAACGTTGACGTCCACACTAGACCAGGCCTGTATCGTGGTCATCGATTAATTTCTAGCAGACAAAATTTGACTAAAATTTTTACTACTCTTATAATAATAGAAAATTATAAACACACAATTAATTATATAAGGCAAAAAAGAAAAACTGATCAATCATTGGAAAATGTCATTTGTAAGTGAAGTGTAGGAGTTGGGAGAGAGTTTGAGTGTGTGTGTGTGTGTGTGTGTGTGTGTGGGTGTGGGGTGTGCGTTCGTATATATGGGTGTGTCTCTAAATTTATCTGAAATGAAAGCAGGATTATTATATAATTAAGTTTTTTTTTATTTCACTATTTTTATAAAGTATTCGGAATCTTCGTAAGACCAACATATCAATAAATTTGTGATATTTACCTCTCTGTATGAGAGGTTTCTTAGGTCGCAAATCTGATTAATTTTATTGTAAGTGTAGGAAAAGAGAAAAGGAGCAAATCGTGCTGCGAAAGCGGCTTTTACTGCAAAACTTAGAGCCTTATATCTGCGGTTTGATGTATTATTGAGTACGGAAGAGTTTGATACAATTTTGTGAGTAGCTAAGACGGCTTGCAAAATAAAAAGGCGTCGTACACTTAGGAGTTTGGCTTCTTTGTACAAGGTTGTTGTGGGGTAACAATATGTTTTTTTTAGCATCACTTTTATGAGAGCGTTGTCATCTTTCCAGTGTAATGAGATGTGTTTGAGCTGCCCCACCCCAAGCCTTTATGCAATAAGAAATTTCTGACTGATATAACGTAAAATATACGGTTTTAAAAATATTTAAGTATGCAATTTTCCTGAGCCGCTTAATAACCTGGATTAGTTTGCGGGTTCTTGCCGACATAGCACCGATATGTTCCTTAAAAGTCATTTTCTCATCCAGCATGACTCCAAGGTATTTTATATTGGATACTTTTTGTATACCGGTAGAGTCGCAAGTTAAGGTCTGCAGAGAATCAGCGTATAATAAGCACTGCGGGTTGGTGTGCACTATTATGTCGGAGTCAGTGTCTGGTCGCGAAGCAGCCATCTTGTGGAAACAGATGTATTTAGTCTTCACCTTGTTTAATGCTAATAGGTTCTCATTTAGCCACTTACATATGCGTTTCATACCACACCTCGCAATCTCGTAGCACAAGATTGTTTGTAATATTTCTCAGATAATGTCACTTTTCCTTAAGTTACATCTAATTTTATTCTGTAGTGTAATTTGGGTGCAATTATTAATATAGAATAAAAATATATTATGATGGTTTAAAGTTTCGCTCATTTTTTTCTTGATCTCCCTAAGTTTTAAGAGGATTTCATTACAAAAAAATGACTTAGTCATCATAAGACCCGGGTGGTGCAGAAAAATAATTTATCAATCGGTTCAAGAGTGTTAGAGAAATAAAGGAAATAGATTAAAAAAAAGTTTGCGACAAATTCAGAACCTCCTCCTCTCTTGAAGGCGGTTAGTAACAAGTTTACGAAACTTGTCTTATGAAACTATATTCACTAGCTACACAACAAAAAAAACACGAGCATTGTTTTTAAGTCCATAAAATACTGATGGGTAAATAAGTGATTTAAAATTAAACTTTTATCAATGTGTAGAGATAAAAGTATTATAGATAGAGAGACTATATCAAAGATATTAATTAAAAATCCTATCATTTATTTATTGATTAGATACTTATCCCTATAAAAGCTACATATTTCAAGATTAGCTGCCATACCCTTCCACCTGTCAACATGAAGCTCCTCCTGACTGTTCTCTGTCTAGCCGTGGCTGTTTCAGCCTACGAGCCCATCAACAATGACTACCACAACACCATAGGTGTTTATGAAGCTGCTCGTATCAAACAGGCTGAAGAATCCACTGACTTTGACGGCAGCAGAATTGTGGGAGGAAACTTCGCTAACTTTGGTCAATTCCCATATCAAGTAAGTAATACATTTAAAGATATGCCTTTATATATTTATATACATAATTTAGCCATCAATATTATTACAAATAAAAAATATCTCTATTACAAATAACATTTATTACTAGTACAGTATGTAAATTTAATACATAAATATAAAACAATTTAAAACATAAAAAGCTTAGTCTAAGTGGCCTCCATTAATAGAAGCACGTACTCTTTCCATGGGAAAATTCTTCACTGCCAATCGTATGGATTTTTTAGGGTGTCCTAATTATCTTGGCGTTAAGAGCAAGACATCTCTCAATATCTGACCTTAAATCATAATCCAGCGGATTAAGATAGGGACTAAATGACGGCCAGTCTTCAGCTCTGATGAAGTCGGAAACGTTCATTTCCAACCAAGACTGCGTGGACCGAGCTTTATGACTCGTCACCGAGTCTTGCTGGAAGGACTATTTATTTGATTATTGAACATTGTGTTGTTAAGGGGCTTAACTACTTTCTCATGAATGGTATTTTGATATACTTGTGCTGATGTTTTGATACCTTTTTCACAAAAGTATGGCTCAGTTACTCCTTCATAGCTAATACCCAACCAAACCATCACTGAAGTCGGATAATGCTCACGGTGCACTCTGTAGACTAATTGGGAAACTCCCTTAGAGCTTTGAGCATAAATACGATCATTTTGTTTGTTAAAATGTTGCTACATTGTAAAAATTTTCTCATCCGTAAACAAATTTTTTCTGTGACCTCCCTTCTATTCTCTCCCTATTCTATTTTAAGTTATCATTTAAAAAATGTCCATTGCGTCTCTTATAGGCTGCAAGTCCTAATTCATCTTTTAAAATGCGCTACATGGTTCTAGGTGCAAACTTCATCTCCCGAGATAAAATCTTTTGCTTTCGGACAGGATTTTTTCGAATTCTTTCCCTTACTGCTTTGACCACCTTTTTGTGAATTCTTGACCTTATGATTAGTTGTGATTACTGCAAGTGAGTTATTGAGAAGCGCAATTAAACACGTCTAGTACGAACACTACTCGGACGTCCAAATCTTTTTCTGTCACAAACAGAGGAGGTCTCATTGTACCTATTAATAGTCCGGCACACAAACATTTTTTTTTAAATTGCATTTGGCTCTATACCCACTTTGTGTAATGCAATCACAGCGACAAGGTTCTCCTTTTCACCCCACTAAATTTTAATATTGAAAAATATTGAACAATGTATTGGTGCTAAAATAAGGAAACACAATGAAAGATTATATAAAAATTATAGATTCCAAATTCAAGTGTAAAATTTTGTTTATTTTTAACTGTAACGGTATTTATGGCCAGACTATACAGGGTGACTGGTGAATTACTATCAATATTTAAGGAGAATACTCGGTACATGATTCTCATTCGAATTATGTAAAAAAAATAGGTACTTAATTTTTGTCAAAATTTCCGTATAAATAAATAAAGCGTGGGCACGTTCCAAGTGTTCCAAGTGTGGACGCGTGCGGCGGCGTGGTGATACAACACTACGCCGCCACACGCGTATGTGTGTGTGTGTGTATACCTAATCTGTAGGGTGTTCACACGATGCGTAATTAATTACATAGCTTTTGGTTAACTTTACTTAGAAGTTTATTAATATTTATGTTATATTAATTTTTATTTTGTCATATATGATCGTCAAATATCACGTCCTAAAGTATTGATAGTAATTCACCAGTCACCCTGTATATAAAAGAAAGTGTGTTAATTACACTATTTATAAGAACGGCTCTACGGATTTGGCTGGAAATTTGTAGATGACTAGGTTGGAATCAGGAAACAGACAAAAGATACTTTTGAATTCGTTCGACCAAAAAATAATAATTAGTTTATAAAATCCAAAATCTGTTTATTTATTTTCTCTAATTCGAAACAGTTCGCTTAGGCAGCATAACATTCTTATTATGAAACTAACGCGCACAACGTCACGAACAAAAGCTAGTTTATCATATTTTACTCAAAATATTTTTTAAAAGACAATTTGTTTAAATTTATTTATTTTTTTCCATTTTAGGCTGGACTTCTTATAAACCTTGTAGACGGCAGACAATCAGTTTGCGGTGCTTCCCTTATTAGTAACTCCAGATTGGTGACAGCTGCTCACTGCTGGTTTTCTGGGGGTTCACAAGCTCGCGATTTCCTTGTAGTTCTTGGATCTATCACTCTTTACTCTGGCGGTATTCGTATCTACACAATCAATGTGCGCACACACGAAAATTTCAATCCGCGTTATCTCCACAATGATGTTGCCATCATCTACATATACCCTGTTAGCTATTCGCGTGAGTGATATTCAAGTAAATTGTACCTTTTTTATACATTGATTTCAACTTCTAACTCATTATGATCCTCTTTTTCTCTATGTATGTAGATACCATAAGGAACATTGAGCTCGCTAGAGGAAACGATTCATTCATTGGATCGTGGGCTACAGCATCGGGTTTTGGCCGCTTCACAGAGAGTTAGTTTTAATATATTTTAAGAACGTATTGTTCAAAATTTTCTAAATTATAACTAACAAACACTTCTTATATTCAGCTTCTGGAGCTTCTTCAACCCTGAGATTCGTTAATTTGCAAGTTACCACAAATGAAGTATGCCGACGTACTTTCGGAAACGCTATCATATCTTCTTTCCTCTGCGTGGCTACTGCGAATGGACGTAGTACCTGCGCTGGAGACTCTGGTGGTCCCCTCGCTATTGGTAACAAACTGGTTAGTATTTTAGTTTCTATAAGGCTTTGGATACAATTTGTCACTGATACTTTATTACTCAATATTCAACATTGCTTTGAATGTCAATGGAACTGAATATTAATAATATACCTATATTTTCCTGTACAGATTGGTATCACATGTTTCGGCCACCGCGGTGGATGTACTCTTGGTCACCCTGCTGGTTTCGTGAGAGTTTCTTCATTCTACGATTGGATCGTATCTAACATGTAAACAATATCTAATTCAAGTATTAATAAATTTTTATTGTTTTTTAAAGTTGTGTCTTTATTTCTATTTTAAAGCTATATTGAAAAAAGGTGAGAAGTAGAAAATTTCATATATTTTTTTTTTGTGTTAACAAGAGTCATACATACGTTTGTAAGTTGCAATCATGAAAGTAATATTCTTTTACTCATGTCTGTTCAAATATTATATAATTTAAAATTTTATTATCATATAATACTTGAAAAGAGAGAATAAGAAATAAATATCACATTACAGAGTAGTGTTTTGTATTGAGGGTTCATTTATTTTTAACTGGCTGCCTATTAACTCTACATACTTTTAAAGGCAACCAGATAACAAATGGGTGGAAACACAGAATATTTTGTTGTTACTAAATACGGTGCGTGCTCTTTTTTCATTTTCTTATTATATTCGTTAAATTTCTCATGTAACTTACACAACTTTCTTTTATATTTATTAGATTAAAAAGCCTAAGTTTATTCATAAACTTTTTATGATTCATTTATAAACATATGCTTACTAATAATAATAATAATATATTAATTATTAAATATAATACTATAATTTTAATTTTAGTATTTCGTTGATGGTGTGTAACTTAGTTCTGTTGCCTTTTTATAATAAGAAGATCATACATACTCTGATGATCTGAAAATTTGCAAAATTATACCAGTATTGTAAATGAATGGATATTATTTTTTATTAAGAATAACTTCATGATAATAATAACTTCGACGTATATATACTAATGACGAAATTAATGAGGACGAAGTTGCAGGCAAAAACTAGTATTTGATAAACCTTTTGTTTTATTTTGTATTTGTTTTTTTTTTCACGATAGCAAAATTTGGTTTGCTATATTTCCTGACACAGAGACCGGGAAGTCATAAAATTGAAAAATAACATGAAGATAGATTTCAGAAAGCGCACTTCAACTACCTCGCTCGGTTTTCAGTAACCGTAGGACCTATGTTTTTATGGGGACGGAGGGAGAGCGTTGTGGATGGATCTGATCTGTCACGCTCAAATTGAAAGCAATGGTAAAGAATAATATATAAACTTATTTCTTTCTTTTACATAAAAAACTTGGTACGGCGACTAAGCGCCCTAACTCAAAACATTTTACCAGGAAAACATAAAACAATGAAGATGAGGTCTTTACTGAGACTGAAAATTAATCTTTCTCTCTCTTTTTAACTAGAACTTCTGTTCTGCTCTATAAATTTTAACTCGTTCGTATTCTTATCTACTCATGATAGCCTAGTACCTATGATTCTGATACGTTACGCAATCGTCTGCAACCGTTTTCCTTGTTAATAGGGCAAAAAAGATTTAGAAAGATTATAAATTATGATTAATAGTGGCCAGGCTTTGCTGGTTAGTTGCTATTTTAATAAGAAGAATGAAAAAAAAATATGAAATTATTTATTTAGGTTTGCTTCAAAGCTGGGGTAACATAATATGATATCAGGTACAATAAAAACTAAAAGAACATTCCTTTTATGATGATTATACAATATACACATATACAGTGTGCTCCAAATTATTGTCGTATGTGTATATTATTATGTAAATAAACAAACAAAAGCACACAAACGTCGTCTCGAGTACAATCCGTCGGATTATGATTAAAAATATTATAAGACGCCAACAAAAATATAACAAGACAATGAATGAAACTTAAAAGAAAAGAAGTGTAAACAATTATAGTCGAGTCATTTTGTGAAAAAAAGGGTTTACCTGGAAAGTTTTCCGGGATTATGGTGGTTTTCCGGTATAAAGGTGGATTAGTGGTCCTAGGCACTGTTGAAGCACCTTGAACGCGATGGACTCGGCATCTGCACGATTAATCTATTGAATGCTAAGAGGTTTCGTCTACTGCCACCAATTTTAAAGAAGCAGGTTTTATAATATTTTCCCTTTCTCTCGGTTATGAAGAATACCAATATTACTATATTGCCAACGAACTCGTGGATAAAATTAAGTAAACAAAAATAATAATTTTTAGTAGGTATATGAAAGTTACGAGCATCGAGTGAGATGAAGGTGTATGAACATATGGATGAAAAAATTAAAGTAACTGACAAAACATGACCAGACAAAAAAAATTTACGTGCTCTTTAGAAAAAAAGTAAATAGGTTTTAATTCGGAACTTTAACATCTTTGTATTGATGCTAATAGAGGGACTTACAAATGGCATATTATCAGGCTTTCTCATGATAGAGTTTCAAACTACATCTTTAAGATATCTTAAATCTTCTTGGCCGGCTCATAAACCATGCTATTAGAGAATAAAGTTCTAGATTTATTTCCAAATCCAAAACTATCAGGTTTTTGATATTATTTCCTTGGATAACTATTTATTTGCCGTTAATTTGTTATTTTGGTAAGTAGGTAAAGAAAAGTTCTTATTCAAAATGGTTGTGTAGCACCAGCACAACTCAAAACATCTTACCAGGAGAACATAAAACTATGCAGGTGAAGGGTGGTGTTTTGTTTGGGGCGGTACAGTAAATGCCTGAAAACGGGGAAGAGGGACGGAACATAAAATAGCGCATGCGTACTAGTACTGTTCATCTCCCTCATCCCTCTCACCTTAATTGAGTTTACGAGTTTGTCACAGTTTATTTGGAATTGTACAACTATCACCCCTAATTCTCAATGGAATGAAGTTTACTGGTGTCGTTACTTGTGCCAGTTGTATTGCAGTTCACGTTTACAAAGGCAATCGGTTCTTTTTTATTTTTATTATAATTTTAAAATTGATTGAAAGCGTTTTTTTAAAATCTTGATATTATAATTTCTTCTGAACATTAGTTCATTCATTAGCTATATTATTTTTACACTAAAATGTAAGTTTAAAGTTCCTTTACATACTGTTTTATTGTTGCCTTTATTTATTTTATGAGACTAATACAATATTGAGACAGTACGTATTAAAATGTTATAGGTATAATCCCTTTAAGAATAATAGCTACAAGTGAAAAATCGTTTAATAACTAGTATTTTGAATTACCTATATACGTGAATAAATAATATCCATTTAATAGCGGAGAAATACTTTCCCTTTTGAGTTATTTTCAAGTTTTGGTTTCTCATGCGATGTCGTAAATAATTAAAAAAAAACCGCTAACATTACAAAATAATACTTATACAATTTAATACCTTTAATTTAGTATATGGCCCTTTACAGCATATGATTTCAATGTTATACCCTTGCGAAACGGGAACGGGTCGCTTTGTTTTTTATACAACGTTCACAGTTTTTCTGTTATATTTTGTATCAGCATTGTACCCGTGCGAAGCTGGGGCGGGTCGCTAGTATATGTATTTTAAGAAACAGAATCAGATACGATTATTTCTTTCAATAATATTTAACACAATTCATTTAAATTTACGCAAAAGACGACTTATACGAACTCTGAAAATCAATGATCCATCAAAAATTTATCTATCTCATTAACGCGTGTAACAAAACGTAAACGTAAACCTGATCTCTTTTGACAATTGTTTATAATGTGTTTCACCGTTCTCTTACCTTGTTCACATTTCTTCTGTAATAAATATTTTCCTACAATTTTATTATAATAAAATAATAGTAATTTTATCTTCTATATATGTATATAAAAATGGATTGCTGTTCCTTAGTCTCGCTAAAACTCGAGAACGACTGAACCGATTTGGCTAATTTTAGTCTTGATATACTCCTGCAAGTCCAGGTAAGGTTTAAAAGGTGAGAAAAATTGAAATAATTGCTGGGAAAATCCTAAAAACAGCCCTTTTCTATTTCCCATACAAACGTTTTTTTTGACATTAGATTTGACAACTAACTAATATGTCAATCATTCTGTTTGATTGAAACAGGAAAAACCTGATTATTTATGGCCTCTAAGACTTCCGTCTTGTAGACTAGAGTTCGCCTGGTCAGCTATACCTACATATATTACTCTTGACCAAACTAACGCGGACGAAGTCGCGGGCAAAAACTAGTAATTTAATAAATTACAGAGCAAAGTTTCGCAAGAAAAGAAAAAAAAAGGTTGACAAAGACGCACCGCCACAACACAAAACATTTTACCAGGAAAACATAAAACCGAGAGGGTTGTGTTTCGTGAAAGGCTGAATTTTATTACACTCTGTAAATTTTCTACGAACATAATAAAAGATTGATGAGATATTGTTACAATATGTAATAAGAAAAATACACAGTGGCAAGCGCAGTAAGAGGCGTCACTATGCCGTACTGTTTGATACATACGAGTATAGAGACATATTTGGTAAACTGATTTAATGACCATAGTTCAATATCATTATTAAAATAAAATAATATTAATAATGTATAAAAATAATATTGATGTATAAAATTTTGACCCTCATAATGTAAATGCAATTTGCTATTTTGATTATCAAAAAAAATAAAACCAGTGTGTGATTACACGACTGAAGTAAAACTTCTTTCGCTCCATCTATATGTAACATGTATATGCATATATTTATATATGTATGTATAATACAGACTTTTACATACAAATACACATATTAATTTTATAACAAATGTTTGAATTTATTATGGGCTATCATTGATAAATTTATATTTTTAATAGATACATATTTCTTTTTATTTATTATTTTCATTATATTCATCATCGTATAAATCAGTAATTACTCTGGCTGATGATTGTAAGACCGAAACAACATTCAGAGGGAGTTCCAGACCGCGACCAGTTGAACGTTAACGTCTCTGTAAAATTAATTTAAACATGCTTAAAAATAATCCATAAATAAAATAAGTAAATAATATTGCACGACTTAATAAAAAAAATCTGTACTACCTTTTTAAAATTTCGATCTGTCTCTTTTTGAAGGAAATAAACGTTTACCGCAACCATGTTGGAAGTCGGATAAGAAGCTTCACTTCAAAGAATAATCAACATAAAAATAAAATCAACATAATCAACATAAAAATATCAACATAAACGAAAAT